ATACGAGGTGCGATCGGAAGGTTTCCAGACTGCGCGTATAAAAACCCGTGCACTTATCTCAGGTATTAAATTCATCCATCACCCTCGAAGTAGTTCCCCTGGGAGTGAACACAACGATCCCAGCGCCGCTGCCAAGCCTGGAAGCATCCCTGGAAATCTTTCTTTGTCAGCCTGTCAAGCACCATCTGCGATTCTGCCTGAATCTCTTCTATCGTCTCAAATCTCCTTCCCTTTAGCTGAATTTTCATCTTTGGGAAGAGGAAGAAGTCACACGGAGCTTGGAAAGGAAGTTGGGGTCGGTTCTTGCAAGATCTTTTAGCTCCTGACAAACGAGAAGTCGATTCTGCTTCTGGTCCTCAGACAGGAGCCTTGGTTTCGCATGTGGAGTTCTTCCTTTAGAATCAGCTGACAGGTCCCAACAATGTCGCACAAGTCGTTGATGGTACGACGTCGATCTTCGTGAATGGCCTGCCGACTCTTCGTAACATTTTCGGGCGTTGTGCTCGAAGATGGTCGTCCAGAACTCTCGTCATCATCGACAGAGGTTCGGTCATTTTTAAAACGTGAATGCCACACAAACGTTTGTGCACGACCCATTGCGGACTCCCCAAATGCTTGCTTTAGCATTTCATAGGTTTCCGTAGCCGTTTTGGCGAGTCTTTGGCAAAATTTGATGCACACGCCATTCCGAAATCGCAGGAGGGTCGGTGTAATGCACTACCAAAACGCTCGTAACTAAGAAACAAATGCTAATTCGATGATGCCGGCTGGCACACTGATTCACTATGAATGTAGGCCGCACCCCCTAAAGGCAGAAGCTCGTACTATATCCGGTTCGCCCGCTATTGACACAGTCTTGAAACTTTCCGATCGCATCTCGTATAACTTTCTTGATGAATGTATTTCTCGTAACTTCAATGCTTCACACTGCACAGGTCTTACCCAACAGACTTTACGCTCTTAAAATTTGTAATTCCGTAAACGGAACGAATGAATGAAATACAACGAAGAAAATCGATTCCCTTTTGCAGTGTTAATATTAGTATCAGGAAGGAACTTAAGGATCAAATAGCTGAAATATTATTTTCGTACTTGTAGCATCAGGAAATTGCGCCTGACATCTGTTTTCTGTTTCATGAAACTACGTGGGAAAAGAGCGTTCAACAACAACACAAGATGCACTGTTGAAAATGACTTTACAGAAACAACTTACGAAAAGCAAAGACTGCGAAGGGACTGCTTTAAACCATCCGCTTTTTGAGGATAACAGCACGGCAAACTGAATTCCCTTGCTAAAAGAACAAAATATTTACCTTTAAAACTGGGATTGTGTGACAAATGGAGCGTACGTTACTTGTGATACCACAAGAGATTACGCGTTGTTAGTTAGTGTTCTTTGTGGAGAATGTAATCGAAACCACGAATCGGTGTTAAAATGCTGTTCATAAAATCTCAGTCACTCAAAGAAAACCAGGAAATCATTTCAGAATAGCAAGTTCTATAAGGATAGAGGAGCATCACTCAGAATGTCCAGAATTCTCACCTAGGGCGTACAGACAGCCGTGGAAGGCGACGCAAGAGAAACTGGCACGTCGAGAAAGCATTGGTGCAACGAACGTCCATTTGTTCGTATCAGGGTCATAAACTTCCACCGAGTTTCCATATCTATGCACACCTGTAACTCCACCAGCGACGTATATGTTGTCTGTAAAAAAATTAGGTATACGACACAGACTGTACACATATTTGGTGTAGGCAGAGGCTTTAAACTGGTCCGTGCAGAGCACAAACATGAGACAATCCGTACTAAAATTTGTAGATCTATTAATGATATTTCATTTAATGCCCCCCTTGTTTCGAATGCAGACAATCAGTGTGTCAAAGGAGACGAGTTTAACTGATAAAATTTAATATAAACAGCATAACGTGCTTAAATTAATGCATAATGGAAATGAAGGTAAGTTACATCTTCTGTAAAACGATTTTTATTAAATTTGGTGCCAGAGATGTACGGTACGAGGTGCCAAGCGGTGCTCTACATTTATAATATAATGTGCTATTTACATGAGTTTACTAACTGTCTCAAAAACATATTACACCTGTATTATATGAGAGCCAGTTTGATAGTTTGATGGTTGTTTGCATTCACTCCTAGTGTACACTACAAATAGCAGAAGACGATGTACAGGGACAGCTTACAAGATCAGAAGAAACCATAACGCAATCAGATATTCAAGCCGTTGCAGTCTGTGAAATAACGTAGTACGTAGCACGGATAAAAGAATATGGGACGATGGAGTGAGGGAAATTAAGTTCAAGAGCGAAGAGGAATACCTTGATGATGAAGGCATAAAGTTCGTCTGAAACGTCGGCAGAAGTCAAACGACGGCCATCTTCGTACTCGCCACCGTAGGAACCTCAAATCCTGCGAATCCTTCAACCGTTCTTGCGTTGTTACACGCGGACAGACAGACTGACGCCTCGCATTCTACACTATTTCACGCATTTCTGTGTCACAGGATTTACGTACCATTCAGTACAGCCGCACTTGCACTGCGTCGCTCTCTGTTCATGGGAGCGATCCACGACCACTGGTTCGTCTTGCAGTCGTATGTTTCCGCCGTTTTAAGACGCAGACGACCATCTAAGCCGCCCATGGCGTAAACTGCACCTCGCAGAACTGCCACACTTAAACAGCGTCTGAAACGATAAGAAGTACACGCTCTGTTATGCTCATTTATTGTTGATTCGGATGCATTTCCTCTCGCAGAACGCAATTGTTCGCTTCTCATTGTATCATAATTCAAAAAAATTAACAAACAAATTGTATTCTTAAAACCAACATTGTCATAAAAGTCCTTCTACCTTTGCACGATGCTCCTGTATGTGATTGGTACAATATTACATTCCCTGCCCACATTTATATCTTGACCAAAGGAGCGACTATCAGTTTTTGAGGAAGGACTCTGCTCCAAGGAGTTCCTTAGTTAGCAAGCTGCATCTTACCTCCAGACATTCATAGGCGCCACCTCGCGGCATGTCTTCGTAACAGCGTTGAAGCACTGGCATGAGCTTAAACCTTCAGAGCTGTGGTTGATACCACCGATGATGTAAATGTCGAAACCAACTACTGCCGTGCCATGGTTGGCTCGCGGACAGATCGAGTCGACGCCCTCCACCTGCAGGAACGATAGGTTATGGCTTTATGTTTCTTTGGGTCATTTGGTTTACTAAAGTGAAGTTGTTATATTAGAGTCCAAGCAACCAAACCACCACCGGAGCGAAGGAACAACCCCCAACAGTCGACCGAAATTGCTATACCGTGGTGGTGGCCTGGCCTACCGCACTCGACAAAGACCGTGAGAAATTTACTTGGAGCAATGGTGGAATTATGAGAGACGGTGGAAAGATGGAAACCCAAAGAGAAGCTCAAACATTACCAGTGCTCTCGTCAAGTACGACAAATGTACGATTTCTGATCTACAGCTGACTTTTCAGGTTCGTGCGATGGTAAAGACAGATGTTGGTGTTTTGGGTTTTATCGACACAAAGCTGGAGGCAGTACGTCCCCCACCCCACACCAAACAGTGTGTCAGCCTTCTAATTCACGAGGCGTTACCACGCAGATGGGCAACATCGACATTGATCAGAACTTCATTTAATACGTTGAAATCCACTGACGATCAACGAAGACTTCATTTCACGTGTAAGATCAGCAGACAGGTTGCCATGACAGTTGATGTAGGACGCTTGTTGTAAATGGTATTTAAGGCAAACTTCGTATCCTTCGTCGATTCCTATTAGAACTTACATTGAACATGAGACTCAGCCAGCACCTGTGGAATTTATGTATTTATTCTTTTTAATTCAAGTCTTTGGAGCTTCTCTTAAAAAAGGGTTCACTGCAATGGAAATAAACGAACACGATATAAAGAGGTCTTGTGATTAAGCAATTACTTATTAAAAATACACAAAAAAGGAAGAAAAGTAATTTTTCTCGGAGGCGTCATTCAACAGGGCACGATAAGAGTAGAAATGCGTGCAACTCACCACACTCCACCCGTCTGCTCGTGCGTCGTACGCTTCGATCAAATCTGTTGGCCTTCCGTCACAACGCCCACCAATAGCAAAAAGAATGTCCTGTGGGATTCGCGGGCGGGCAATCCTTGGTGTCACGAATTCCTTGCCTTCCTTCGTCATCATTTCTGGGTAGCGCCGAAACGCGAGCGTCTCAGAGATCAATGGTCTGCATCCATCATTATCCTTCACGTATGGGTGATTTGATACCTGTTGAACAGTTCAATGTGGACCTTGTAATCTCCATTGCAGAGGACACAAGAAATTCATACATAATTTGGATGGGAACTCACCGAAATAGACTATGGTATATACAAGAAAATATGTTTTTTGGTTCATGTAACGACGTTCTTAACAAATGCACATGTTGTGGAGAGAAGCGAAATCAAGGTTAAATCGATCTTAGAGAAATGTATTGAAATGTGTTTCAACCGAAAGTTAAATGCTTCAGCAAAGGTTGCATTTTGAGTTACATTCAAAAATTGTGATTTATTTCTCGTCTCTCCAGTTCGAGATGCACGCCGCGATTACCACATTCTTTTGGATTCGATAACTTTAATTAGTCGTCAAAATTACGCAGCACCGAAAGATAATTATGACAATTAGTTGCTTCGATTTTCAAGGGTGGCAACCTCCTGCATGCTGATGGTTGTGTTGAAGGCTCGCCGACACAACAGCGTGTGATTATGGGCTCGATGTCTATTAAGAGCCATTGCATGTTTCGATCTTAATTAGTCATCATCAGGTGCTTCTCTTTAAGTGATCGAAACCAGTGGATACGAATGCTAAATTGTAAAGACATTTGCTGCAGGTAACATTTTTCTTGAATCCGTGCGATTGTTTCACACGTATTCGTAAGAGGTGAGTGGCTGCAAGCACAGGACATTTGACCTTGAGTAGAAAAACTTTGTCTCTCGGGTTAAAGCGCTTGATGAAATGGAAGAAGGAATATAATAAGTTGTACGGCTGCTTCGTGAAATGACGGTTAAAATATTAGAATATTGAAGCTGTCTATGAGTTTGACGCCCCTGGGGTAATTTACTCTTGGAGGAAATACGAAGCTATCTTGCTGCACTTTTCGGATATCTGTTGTCCCTATGTGGTCAATCAGCTGAGGATTATCACGCTGAAGTGATCTCGGGTTGACTATATATATCGTCGGATATGCGTGAAATTGTTATAGCAGCTAAAATACGCTCTTATGGCAGTGGGATCTTTGGTTAATGCAAATCGTGAGCCTTTTTCTTCGTCACGTGTAAGCTCGTCTGTTGTCCGCAGTTCTAGCTCGAGAACGTCTAAACGGATGTTCATTAGATTTAATACTGATAAGCTCTAACAGAATCTGTTGCCACATTCCAATTCTGGTTAAAATCTTACAATAACATCGGGAAAATTACACAATGATTTTAATGCCTTATTCCGCGCAAAATTTGCTGCGTAAGAAATCCCCAGGTTGCCTAGTTACTATGGTTACAATAACTATCTGTGGAATTCCGCTGGTAACACGCTCGCACATAAGTGTGTGTGTGTGCAAAACAAATATTCGATTCGTCCTTTTATGCAGATATGTGTTTGGAGTTAATAATAGTCTTTTATCCATCATCTGTAAGTTTGACATTCCGTCTGCGCTACAATATTTGATTACAGTCTCAGCGTTTATTAAGTTCCATTACATGTTTCTGTTCAACTACAGCATTCCACCGTTTACTACATTCAAACGTCCACTCAGCTTGAATAGAAAAATCCTCCAACAGATAAATCACATTTTCTACTTAATTAGTTACGAATTGCGTGTGAAAACGGAATTGAAAATGCAGGCTTCAGTTCCCATAAACATCCACGATTTCAGGGGCATACTGACCGTCTCCAGGAAAAATTCTGCGTCAAGTAGTCCCAGTCTGACGCCCTTCAAAAGGTCCGCGATGTGGCCTTTCCTGTTGTCCGGGTCGTGGTTGATCCACCGGAGAATGCACTCCCACACAACTTTCTCGTCCTCCACGACCAGTTCGTCGGACTCGATTATCGCTTGCAGCTCCTCTACAGGCAGTTCCAGCAGTTCTTTGCTCTGCTGAGACACTTCCACGAAGTGGTACAGTAGGAAGCGACGAGCTTCGGTCTCAAGGTCGGCGCATAAGTGAAACCTGCGACAGCGAGGGTAAGAGCCGACTCAGAATCTATCTCCTTCGAACTCTGACACATTCAAACGCTGCAGCAAGAACTGGATTCTCAAGCATTTGCACACCACAGTATTTCGCCTGCAGTTTTTACCTTAGCCCTTTGAAGCCCGAATGAGTGAGACTGAGAGCAGGCACGTGGAGAGGCAACGATGAGAGACGCTCCGTGTAACAGGGGCAAAATAGAATGTTTTCGGCTCTGAAGGTTCCCAGGCAATGCTCGCTCGTCCTCGTGATAAAGTTAAGTGAAGAAGGCAGTGAGATGAGAAGTGTAGAATTTTTAATTCTGGCATTAACCTTGGCGAAACGACATTGTGTTAACTCTGTGTGTTAATCCAGTGAAATCTCGTTTAACCGGACTATATGGGGGGAACCACGGGTCGGATAAGCCGATAAGTCGGATGAGAGAGGGAAAGGGGGACGTGTTCATGGATATGAACAAATACATAGAGATTCAATACAGATTTTCTTCGTCGGCGGATGAAGCGGGCGTTTCGCACGCACAAGTCGACTGCAAAAATCACTCGTGGGCGCTGTTCGAGGGAGTCCCTGTATTAAAATAGTGAATTTATTAGTCGTTATGATCATCGGATGAAGTGGAGGTTCTGGTGTGATTCTTCCAATGTCAGTTGATTTGCTTATCATGTTGTCCTGAACAAGAAGGGTAGGGGTTCAGCTTCTCCGGGGACCAGCATGTTGTTTTTTGTCTTTGCCCGATAATAACCAATACACTAAATGTCCAGAAGTGTTCATAATAATCAGCAAAATCTGGGTGTTGAGGTTAGATCAATGAACTGTACCGCGTGGACATCGCTTTAAACACTCTCGCCGGTGGAAACCGATCGCAACCGATCTGGTTGAAATTCGGTCGCTTAATGCGGTAATCGGATAACCGAGGGTCGGTTAACAGAGGTTTTGCTGTATGCAGAAAGATGTGGGACTGAATGTTGATTTTGATATTGGGAGGATTATGTAAGAAGCAAGGAATGC